AAGGCAAGAATCTTCAGGCTGTGGTTTCACACTAGCTTTAACCCAGCTCAAAACATCAATCCCAGCCTCCTCATCACTTCCTTTGTACCAGCACTAAGACAGGGAGCCAGATCAGAGAACTGATCCTGCTGGCTACCCACCAGCCAAAAGACAAACTTGGTTTTTAGCTAGACAAGTTATTTCAGCCAGCTCGCTCTCCCCACACAAAGCAAGACAGCAAGGAGGAAGGTGGGAGCATGACGTTCAGCAGTAGCACAGTTTTATGGTGGAGTAATTATGATCTTAAAAAAACAAACCAAAACAAACCCACACCAAACAAAAAAACATGGATTCTGTTTGTGGTCTGTCTGGTACAGACTGTTTCAGAGGATGGCAGGACATAAGCCCTTTAGAGCAAACATGCCATGAGTCCTGACCTGCCCAATATGCTTCATGAGCCCTTCAAATATGGGTTAAATACTCAATGCAAGGATTTTGAAAAAGTGGATTCATTTCCACTATGAATGTGCTGCTGATATTGATCTGCAAAGGCATCCATCAATGAAGCAAAATGATATTTTCATGTAATTCTACAAGAGTCTACAACTCTGGTTATCTGAAATTCCTCATATCTCCACCATTGGTCTGGTGTGAGACAATTAACACAAAATTAAGTGAAAATTAAGTGTATGTACATACAGAATCATCTATTTATGAAAAGTATGCTATTATTCATTTGATGACCTGGTACATTATAGCAGAACAGGAGATTTTCAAGCTTGCAAACGTAAAGCACTGTGAAGTTCCTGTTAATAGCAAGGTTAACTATCTCATACTTTGAAAGCACTTTGAAGAAATACTTGTACATATTCTTGACTTCGAGTCCTCCATCCTTGTGCATCTTTACTTACCATGGAGATGAGCCACCAGCACAAGATGATGAGGCATGACAAAGCAGCACTCAACTAAATTTTGCAATGCATGGAGCTCAGAAGTCCAGCTGAGTGCTTCATACTGTCACCTGCTGCTTCTACCAATCTTTTTTCCAAGGATGAAAAGATATTCACAAATAATGATTATTTCTTTAAATGCTTCTTTATGCTATTAGATCATTCACAGAGTATTACGTCAGTTAATAGCAACATGGATACAACAGTCACAAAAACACACAGCAAATGTTGAAGATCAACAAGAACAAGACCACTAGCAGGAAATAACCCAGAACTCTGTGCTAGTTGAGCGTTAATTCAGTAATACTGTATTTTTTCTTGGGATCTTTTTCTTGAAAATAGACATATGAAGATGATAAAAAAATACCTACCTCAGATGGTGCTTTCCATCCAGAAAGATACTCTTTCAAAACAAGATTGCTTACATCTTGAGCCTGTCTCCCTTACAATTGAGGGAGTTCATATTATTTGGATGGATACACATATATATGTATCCAGGCTGCGATCACATTAGTATTTTTAAATGCTAAAACTATGCTATTATTTAAAAAGAGCATTCAATAATTGATGGGAGTTTGGATGGTTTTCTAAAAAGGGAATCTCCAAGGCTTTTTACTTGTGCTGCTGTTATTTTTATTTTAAAGAAGTCATCACACTCTCAACTTCACTTGCACAAGAAAATGAAAATAGAATTATGACCAAAAAATGTAGTGAACTGCAGTGGATAGTAACTGGTTTGATTTTAAGTCCTTTCTAGTAGAATAATATAAAAAGCATAAGAAAGTCTAAGAGATATGTGTAGATGCACAAAGTTATAGACTAGAAGGCAATACCAGTCAATTCTGAAACAAACACCTACCACATTGTCTAATTCATGTGAAAATATCGAATGTTTTGCAATTATTGTAAAACTGGTAGAATTTGTATTTTTCATTCCCTCCAGTTAAGAACACAGTACATAACATTAGCAAAAAGAGATCTTTTCAGAGTGCTCTGTACTTCACACTACTCTCACTTGCTTGGGATGTGGCAAAAACTTACTTTCAGAGTCTGATTTACTCAGAACATGCTGAAACTGCTCAACACACTCATATTCTCCAAAAAAGCTTCATCTTGACTCTGAGGAGAGACCTACAAATGAAGACTGTACAAATTAACACATATCAGACTCTTTCAAAATGGTGCATTTTTCTTCCAGTAAACCTCCTGTTTAAAGTGTAGTGAAGTCAATGAAAAACACACATCTATTTCAATGGATACCAATACAGGTCTTTACATTATAAATGTAAGTAACTTACCGTGGAATCACACAGTAAAAGAAATATAAGGATGTGAAAAAATTAAAAATATTCTTGGGGAGAAAAGATGCTATTTTAACTTAACTGGCTTCTTTTTTCCTGGATTTTTAACTCGTTTTTGGTGGTTGGGGGAGAGGGGGGTTAATACTGACCTCCATAAGGCTATTTACCCTCTGGATTTTCACTAGGAAGTTTTATTCATAGAGTTTTGCTCCTCCAACTTTACGCTGCATTGTGCTTGTCAGACTATGAAGCAAAGTACCTCATATTCTCCCCACTTCCCACTGACCTGCTGCACATTTACTGCTGCATAGTTCTGCAGTTCTGTAATACTTCTACAACTTTGATCACCCTTGGCTTTATCCAGATCATCAGTAAAGCTTGTACTTCACCTAGACTTCTCAACACTACAGGTGCCGTCTTCCTAATCTGTTATTCAATGTTAGGATTAAATAAAACCCAAGGGCAAATTTCTGTCAGCTGTCTGTATTGCAGTTCACAGCAGTGATAGCCACACAACACCTACCTGTTTTAGTGCAGTCGAGGCCTATTGGCAAGTCCCAGAAAGACAAGGCAAAACTCTCTGAAATTTCTTTCCTCCTTAATCTTCTGGGTCAAGCAAACATGCTGGAGCCCAATGTGCAAAGCCTGAGATCTACTCTGCTTTCTAAATAGATCCCTTGGACACTTTTGGGATTTGGAGGAAGAGTGTGCTACAGCAGAAACCGTGTTCCAGCTTCTCACACTGAGAAAAATTCTCCTTAGGAAATCTGTAACACTGAAGGGAAAATGTCCCAGGTGGCCAACATGTGTCTCTTACACAACCTGTGTGGTCATTTCTTCCATCTGATCTTCCCTCCACTTCCAGTAGCACAAGGGAGATGGGAATGTTAGGCTTTGGATAAACTGAATAAATATACACTGTATACTCTGATGTTCTCACATGGCACACAGACACTGCACTACAGTCTAAGGTACACTGAGGCCAAATGACATACAGGAGGTGTGCAAGAAAGTGAAAGGAGACAGAATCCTCTGCATACTGAAAAGCTAGGTTCATTCACTTTTCTGTACAAATACAAGTTAAATCCTATTAAATACAGCTACTTGGTTTCCCAAATTTTTTTGCAAGGTCCATCCTGAATGATGAAAGGTTGAAATGACAAAGGCTATGCTTAAACACTCTGTAATCAATAACTTTTAGCTCCCATTAACAGAAAAGCTCCAATCACTTTCCTTATTAAATTATTTACCTCCTTCATTCAAAGGTCTACTTGCCTGATCACAGGGTAATGTAGAGTGGATGACTAAACAGTTTACAAAGTCTAGGTTTTTTTTCTTTAAAAGACACGTGGAAGAAGAAATGTGCCACAGGCATCCATGTGATAGAAATGAGTCGATTTTATAGGAGGAGAAAAAACTCAAATTCCGCTGATGAATTCTAAGAGCTAAGGTCACCATGGAGGGGCAGTGTCTCATTTTCCCACCTTGCCTGGCTTCATTATTTTCACAATTGCAGTGAAACCTGTTAATAGTGGGCTGATAGAAATTTGACCCAGCTCACAACTGACTACTACACTTCAGTTTCTGTGAAGACAGTCTCCTTGAACTGAGTTTTTAACTGATCTTTTCAAATGACTGCTTTAGTGGTTGGGGCTGCATCACTGCAGTCTGTGGGAGTTTTGCTGTTGGTAACAATGTCTCCGAGGAAACAGCAGTCATTGGAGATCTATCTCTGTTTTCTGGTAAGATTTTTTGGCTTTCTATCCAGTTTCATTTCCTGTTGACAGAGATGACTTATCTGAAGTGTTTGGTTAGTTTTAACTCACCATGGTACTGTGAAAAAAAGATTGTTCAACAAAACCAATAGGAAAAAAAAATAATAATAGCTCCTGTAGAGTTCATCTCACTCAAACCCATCCATAATAAGTCATTTGGTCACTGAAATTACATCTACAACACTGTCCCTTCAGATTTTAGTTAGCAGTGTTGAACATTTGGGCTGCTATATTTAGAATATTCCTGCTTTTGTTTGTGCTTCTGAATGACACAGTATTCAGAACCTGCCAGTATTACTGAGTATACTGCAGGCTCTTTACTGTTTCTGATCACTCTACAAAGAGATTAAATATAATAAAGAACCACTGTTAACAATAAATTCCTATTTACATTGTCCATAGGTAGTTTGGAAAGCTAATTAGGGTAATTTCTTCATATGCTGTAACATAAAAATGTAGCACAGTACAAAAAAACTAGTCCTAGACTCATAATGAGGTAATTTTTTTTATATCTCATTTTCAACATAGGCATGCAAGTGTTGTAAGGTATTTCAGAAATAACTGACAGATTAATTTTTTTTTTCCCTTGGCATCATTAGAAATTTCTTCCAAAATGGAACAGAAATAAATATTTGGAATCTATTAATTTTTGCAATCTTTTTTTCCCCCTTATAAGTCTTTAAAATGAAACAGGAACTACAAATGAATCCAAGTAGCACACTTAAGATTAATCATGGTCAAATTGCCTGAACCAGTGTCAATCCTACTGAACAAAGCTGATTATACAATCAGTATATAGGGATGGGTGGAAGGAAGAGACAGCTGCTTCTAGTGAATCATTTAAAGCTCTGCCTGAGAGAAAACATCCTTGCCTTTCATCATAGAGGAAAGCAAAGAGTAACTGCAGTAACTTCTGGCACAAACACTAGGTTCTCAACACAGAAGGCCATTGTTCTTCACACTAGAAATACTTTCCAATTTTAGCAATTTTAACAAAATAAATAAACAACTTCTTGTATACTATATTCTGACAATCTGCAATAATATGACCAATTTAGGGAAGAAACAGCTACAGCAACTAGAGATACATCCAAAGATGAAAACTACTGCAGTTAGACATCTTGCATGGGTGCTTCATTTTCAATTCTGTTCTATGGAACATGTAATGGTTTCCTAAGGAGTGCTGTAATCTCAGACGACTTCTACATGTAAAAGACAAAAAAGAAAAGGACCACACCTGGCCTTCTGAGAGCATCACTTAAGTGAAAAAAACACCAAGTAACTTTATATCACTACATCATAAGAAAGTCATGTAAGACATTCCCACATCCTGTGCATTCTATCATCGACAGTTCAGTGCTGCACATGAAATAGCAGCCCGGGATCCATACTACATCTCTTGAAAATACACATCTCTTGCAGTCTCCCAGGTCTCATAAGTTAAAGGTCAGATTCACAGCCATGAATTGGCTAAAAGGTTTGTAAAGACAGAAAGCAGCACAGAGATACAGTCATAGTTCCATCATTATGGGTGGTCTTCACTCTGATTCTTGTCCCAGCACAGTCTAGGGCAGTCTCATGCATGTCCTCAATCATACCTGGGCACAGAACCACTCAACACTCACCTGATCTGCCCCCCAACATAAAACCTTGACAATAGGTTAACAATCTGCTGTTCCAACCAACTGAAGCTATTAGTCCAGACCCTTTAAAGGCACAGCCAGATCACAGCTGAGAATTTGGCCTTTGATTTTAACTTGTCACCTGCACAGAAATACTAACCATTTGCCTAGCCAGATGGATCTGTACAAACATTTTTAGATTTATTGCCAGCATATCTTCATATCTTCCACCTGTTCTGGTAAAAACAACATTTCTGATGAAGATTTCTATCAGGTTTAAACTATTCAATTCTTTATTAAAGTTGCCTGCTTGCATAGTGCAATTTGAGCCACTATGCAAAGCACCTATCTATGACATAGTTTAAGAGAAACAAATGAATTATAAACTATTTTTTCCCCAGGCTTCACCTAGAAACTTTATTCTCTTACTTATGTCACAGCATTCCTTCACAAAAGAGTGTCTCTCATTCGCTCAAAGATGTGCCATAGCCACGCGCATCAAAGCACAGGAAAAATTTGTTTTGCTTAATTTTAAGCCACTTTTAAAACTCAGTTGGGGGGTGGGGTGGGAGGCACGGGGAAATATGTGTTCAAACGAAATCAGATGAGTGTGACTGAAAAATATGGAAAAAAATATAAACAAACCCCAGAGCATCCAAGGAAAGAACAAAGAATTCAAATTAAAAAAAATTGAACATTGTGGGCCTGGTCTTCATCTACCACAACAGATGTAATTAAGGAATAAATCCACTCAAGCTGGTCAGCAAGGTCAAAGAAAAATCACACACTTAAGATCACCTTACCAAACAACAAACTCCAATTTTGAGAATTACATCAGATTTCAGATTTTACAAGGTTCACTCATTCTTATTTTGAAGTGAGAATTTCCCAGGTTGCAACGCAAAATAATGCCTAGTAAAAATATATGGAGCTCTACAACTCCTTTGCATAACTTTTCTGGAGTTGCACTCTCCCAGGCTGGACCCTCTTTGCTTTTTCCATTGTTCATTTTCTTCCCCTCATTCTGCCAATTTTAATCTAGCAGGGAAAGTCATTTTCTAGCAAGCACTGTCAAAATATTCCAGACATGGACCTTGCACTCCAAGAATGCAATGCTGTGTCCAGAGAGCAGTGCTGTATGCCTCAGGGATCTGTAATAGTCAACATGCATATTCCTAGCAGTCAAGATGTGTTCCACTGCACAGCTATGCACCTCTGCCTTTGATTTGGTTTGGGCGCGTGTTCCTCCCAAAGGCAAGTCTGTCTCAAGAGACTGATGGTTCACTGCTAGCTGAAGGGAGGAAGACAAATCTGTTACCTATTACTCTGGTAGGAGTTAACTAATTATCCCCAATAACTCCAGCCTTTACAATGGGAAAGTAGCACACAGCTTTTATAAATAAGAATTATTGACCTTTTTAAACAGTTTCAAAAGAAGAAACTCTGCATCAAATGTGAGTATAATTTAGGAACTACTACATAGCAGCAAAACTACATTAGACTTTCCGATTTTTCCATGGTATCCTTGGATAGATACACCACCCAGTAGACCATGTTAAATGCTCCAAAGGTAACAGGAAATAAAATGCGTGCATATTTGTCTATCTTACTCGTGCCAGAGTGCGAGGCAGGGGGAGCAGGTGGTGTGACGGCAGATGGCTTTGCAGATGCTCCTAATGTATTAGGTGTGGTGGTCTGAATCTGTTCCAGTCTAGATCCAAGCAAGTGCTGAATGGAAGGGGATCCAGCTGTGGCATGCTGGGATACAAATCCAGTTAAAATTGGGGTAGAAGGAGGAGCTGGAGGGGTAGCTCTTGCAGAAGATAATGTCTCTGATGCATTGATGCGTGTGAAAGGGTTGGGACTTGATGCAGAAAGGGAGTGGGGTGTAATGTCAGAAGACCCCTGAGCTACAGAGAGAGGCTGGATGGAGCTGTGCCTTGTGTCAATTCGGCTCCCACCATCCGCTTCAGACTGTACTGTGGCATTCATTCTTTTCCTCACATTTGAATTGGCATCTGTACTCTGCAAGTTACAAAAAAAAAATAGTCATTCTTAAAATAAACACTTAAGCAGAAGCAATGGAAACTTTATAATCAAACACTATGAGAGTAATACTCACAAATATAACCAGTAGCTTGATCCTGAAGCACAAAGATACCCATGCTCATGAAAATAGATTTAATGGCATACAAAGTGATAAACAAGAGTTCCTTTTACCTGTGCTTGGAATACCAGGGTGAACACATCTGATGAATCACGCTCCATGTGCTGTGGTGACCTATGTAAACTTAATACCATGAGGCTAACGATTCTTGGGTTAGAGTCGGGGTTTTTTCCAGGCTCATGCTCAGAACAATTTTTTCTGATGTTTACCTATTTTTCACTTATTATAGATGAAACTTACCAGTCTGCTTTATATCTCCAGAACAGAAACTACCATATATTAGGAACTCTAGCCTGTCTTCTAGAGTAGATGCTATTAGAATGCAAGTATTGACCAAACCAAGTTACCACATTGCTGCTTTTTCAGAAATAAAGGCAGTGCTTTTTCACATCAACCACAGGCAATACATTCTCCAGCTGCAATTGAACCAGTGAATAAATCAATCTTTCATCAACTACTCCTTTCTATTAATTAACTAAGAAAAGTGGTGAATTCTCCATCACTTGATGTCTTCAGGCAAGTCTGGGTGTCTTTCTGAAAGATAAACTTAAGCCAAATAGTACTTATTAGAATGGATGAGAAAATGAAATACAGTAAGGAAGTACAGATGGGAAATCCAGCAGAGTTCAATATTTTACTGACTTCTGTGAGTGGGGCTCAGGCTCTGCCTTTCTTCTCTGCATTTAAGAGGAAGCCTAACACCTCCTGAACCTCCTTCTGGAAGGGTACCTGAAGAACAGACTTTTGAACCTTCAGCCCTGCACCTAAAATATAATATAAAACATACCATATTTTAGATATAATATGTGAATATATTTTGTGCAGAGACTCACTGCTTTCCAAAAGGCAAAGACTTATTAATGGCAGATAGGGTACAGGTCTAAATACAGGCAGGACCAAACAATGCCTTATATATCCAAAAGCAAATGTTGTGCACCTCTCTGATGATACAGTTTCCCAAGCATTGCCCTGCACCACATCTATTGTGTGTCTTTGGCTCCCCTCTCCTTCACACCTACCAGAGAACCCTGCCAAAGCTCACAGCACAAATAAAAGGGAAAGTGGGCAGTGATCTCTCTTTCCTCCTTCATCCCACAGCAATTCTCTCCAGCTAAGTGCTAGAGCAGTAATGGAGAACAACTCGGGTGTTATTCAAGGTGCTAGTACCTTGAGTAGTGAGAAGAGTGGCAACCATGTCTGTCTGGTACACCAGTTGTGCTTAGCTGTTTTACTTCAGGAAACAGATAAATGGGAGCTGAAAAAATAATTTTAAAAACTCAAATCACTTGACATCTCCAGTACTCCCATCATGGCCAGAATGCTGGTCCCAAATCCTGTTACTGCTGGCCTAAATTCATCTGAAGCTGTCAGACCTATACGCCAGTTCATGGCTGATGTATTTGCCACCTCATGGTTGATCTATCAAAGAATCCATCTTAGGTTTCACAGTTTTCCTTCCTGCATAAAAACATGCCAAACCCTTTTATTTATTTTTCTGCATCTGCAACCCAAAGAAGCAGAGGACTGGAATAAACACCAGAGGAAACTGGTATTTCCTGAAAGAAACACTAATCGTACTGTTTGAAAAAGAAGCCTGAGTCACTCTTTTGGAAATGCAAAAGTACACACAGGTGTGCAATTTGGATACTTTCACACTAGGGTTGTCAATGACTCAGGAACAGTAAAGCATCTTTCAAGCCTGCTAAATTGAAATTATAAAGTACAGTCAGGACAGGAGTGCATTTACTAGAGACTTGGTAATACGTGACAGAGTACTGCATGTTACTTGAAGGCTTGCAAAGCTAAGCAGATGCAAATCATTGATGCTCGGTGTCAAAAACCAATAGCTCTGTGCTACGGAGAAACTGGAACTCGAGTCATTGAGAGGAGGAGAGTTTTACCTTCTACTTGCAGATCCCTGAACAACCTGACTTTGCTCAAATAAGATTCTCCCATCACAAAGCTCTCAATCAGCACCTGGGGAGCAAAAGCCCACAGGCTGGGACAGGTGTTGCAAAGTAGATCTGCACTGGAACTAAGACATGTCTCTCTCTCCCTCTTGTCTACATTAGACCAGTAGCTTAGAGGTGGTGGTGCTGGAGAATAGAAGTACCACATCTTCAATCACTCCAAGCACAACCATGAAAGAACCCAAGAGTAGAAGAGAAAATTAAGTGCAATTCACAGAGACACCATTTAACACTCCTGCTCACTTGTACTGTCACCTGTTTGCAACAGCCACCTCAGTACCCTTCCCTTCTGTGCATGAACCACAGACAATGGTAAGAGATACGTAACAGCCAGGTTCCTTCTCACATTCCAGTCATCTTCAATTTTTTGGTAGGAGCTTGTTTCCTTCAATACGTTTGTATAATACCTCCTCTTCCCCCCACTTCAGTTGTCATCCAAGTGATCAAACAAGACCTCTTGCTATTTAATCCACTGCTCATGTCCCATTACAGTGTTTATTCTAGAATAAAATTATCCATACTATTTCAAATTGTCAAAATGCATAACCATTTAAAAGTCTATTGGCATTCTTGACACCAATACATAAAATTTCCAATACTTCAGGAACCATAAATGTAGAGAGAAACCCAGCTTCCTCATAAGTATTACAATGTACACATAAAGCCCAAATAGGTAACATTGTAAGATATCGCAACATCTCACTGCATAACAATCCCCAAAATTACTGGTACTTTCTTGTTAATTCTCTGGAAACCACCTTCTAAGAACTGACAACATGGAAATTAGAAATTGTATTTCTAACATGCTTCACAGACAACATATTACTGAAAATGGTTGTTCTTGCATAATGTCATTGTAATAGTTTGGACTTGTGAACCTTGTCCTTGAAACGTACTGAAGCAAGTACTTTCCATGGAGAGAGATATGTTACACAGAAAAGCAGCAGCTTTGGCCCTGCTGGAACAGCCTGTTAACCATTAATACTCACTCTTACAGGGCTGGGAGCAACTTAAATACTGGAGATAGAAAATCTCCTGAGTCAGTGCTTAGCTCCAATACCTGATGCACCTCAGAAGCCCTGTCTCAGTGGAACACATTCCAACTCCTGTCTCCGTAGGTTTTGCAGAATCAGCGTGCAGCAGCAAAACAAGAGGCAGGCAGCCTGTCTCGCTGCTTCCTTTTTTAACATGGCAGCTGTATCACTCCCACTGTGAGTGCTGAGCACCCAGCTCTGTGCCCGGTCGTAGCTAAGCTGAGTGCACACTCATTGCCAGGGTGGCCTCACCAACACATTTCCCACCACATCCCCTCACATATTCTTTTCTTCCACTTGCCTTACTCAAGACTGTATCACGACAATAGCTCATTCTGCTCCCTCAAGGCACTCAAGTGTCTCTTCTTTTTCATTTCTACAGTTCAAAAGTTTCTAGCAAAAATTCTTGTTATTGGTTGTATACATATGACCCCTATATATTTCTCTCTTCAGTGTTATAAAGATAACTCATTTCTTCCTACATGAATCTATTCCTCCTCTGTAATGATGCTATCCCACAAGTCTACATCATCTGAAGATCAGTGCCAACGTCACCAATAAAAGTATTAAACAAGGCTGATTCCATGGCCAAGCCTTAACAAACCAAATACTGTTGACATCAACAGAAAACAGGTTAACAACTACAATGCAAAACATAGTAAAATGCAACATCCAGTTTGTACTAAGCAAAACACTCCACATACATTTCAGCTATAACGCATACCCCTAGTAAAAAGATATTATAACGACAACCTGACCAACAAAATTGTATACATATGTAAAGCACTTACTGCTTCCTAAAATTATTTTACTTAGCCTTTTTAAAAACAACAGCAAGAAACACAAACCTACTGCCTATCAGTAGCTTTTAGTTTGGAGGCACTGTATTGGGTTTGTGTAGCAAGGTTTTGGTATTAGGGGGGTACAGGGGTGGCTTCTGTGAGAAGCTGCTAGAAGCTTCTCCTATGTCTGACAGAGCTAATGCCAGCCGGCTCCAGGATGGACCCACCGATGGCCAAGGCTGAGCCCATCAGCAATGGTGGTAGCACCTCTGACATATTTAAGAAGGGGGAAAGAAGTTGCTGCACAACAGCAATTGCAGAGAGAGGTGTGAGAATATATGAGAGAAGTAACTCTGCAGACACCAAGGTCAGTGGAGAAGAAGGGGGAGGAGGTGCCCCAGGCACCAGAGCAGAGGTTCCCCTGCAGCCCGTGGTGCAGCCCATGGTCAGTCAGGCTGTGCCCCTGCAGCTCAGGTTAACAGTTAACAGGTAAATGGTGGAGCAGATCTCCACCTGCAGCCGAGGGAGGACCCCAATTCAGAGCAGGGGAATGCCCAAAGGAGGCTGTGACCCATGGAGAGCCGGTGCTGGAGCAGGCTCCTGGCAGGACCTGTGGACCCGCTGGGGACTCACACTGGAGAGATGAACCCACGCTGGAACAGGTTTGTTGGCAGGACCTGTCACCCCGCTGGGGACTCACACTGGAGCAGTCTGCTCCTGAAGGACTGCACTCTGTGGGAGGGATCCATGCTGAAGCAGTTCATGCAGCCAGTAGGAAGGATCCACACTGGAGAAGTTCGTGGAGAACTGTCTCCCGTTGGAGGGACCTCACGCTGGAGCAGGGGAAGAGTGCAAGGTGTACCTGTGATGAACTGACTGCAACCCCCATTCCCCATCCCCCTGTGCCGCTCAGGGAAAGGAGGCAGAGAAAAATCAGTATTAAGGTTAAGCCTGGGAAAGAGAGGAGTGGAGGGAAGATGTTTCTAAGATTGGGCTTTATTTCTCATTATCCTATTTGGTTTTGATTGGTAATAAATTAAACTAATTTCCCCATCTGTTTTGCAATAACAAT